ACATGGTTCCTACTATTATTACTTTAGTATTTTCCCACAGAATTTGGGATCCTTCAGATCTCTGGCTTTGACAGTGGAAACTTCCAGCAACAGCCTAGTTTTAAAAAGCCTTGGCCTTTTCTGCAGGAGGCTTGGCGTCCCACCCAGGCCTCGCCATGGATCCCCTGCGCAAGCGTGAGCGCATGGCCAATCCTTTTCTCTGTTTTCTGGGCTGCACAATGAGGCACTGGATGAAAGGACAGAGGGCTCTCTCAGGCCCCCTGCGGCTCTCCAGGTCTGGGAATACACAATTTCAGACCCATGGATCTAGACAGAGACACCTAGAGGCAGGCTGTGCCCACAGCACTCAGTCCCAGCAACAGGCAATTTTAGATTACACCAGACTCCCTGGGGTTCTGCTCAACTTGTTCATCCCCCAACAGCATGATAGCTACCAGGAAAAACAGAGAGCTGAAGAACACTCTGTCCCTTAACAGTTTTTGCTGTCCTTTGAGTACCTACTATGTGCAAGCACTGTGTTAGATGCTTTACAAAAGTCAGTCCGAATTTTACAGATGAGGAAATCAAAGCAGAATAAAATGACAATGATTACAACACTGGGTAATGTGTACTGGGAGCCTATTAAATACCGGGCATGGGTTGAGCATTGTACATGTATTAATTGACTTAATCCCTGAAATAGAGATGTTAATGTTATCTCCCATCTGTGGAAGATCAAAATGAGACATAGGGAAGTTCAGTAAATTGTCCAAGTAGGCAGCAGGGCTGCGACAGACACCCAGGGGTCTTAGGGCTCTTAACTAGGCTAGGCTGTGTCTCCACCACACAGTGGCTAAGTTTGCAGACCCCAGTCTACGAGTAAAAAGTGCACTATATGGTGACAAAAGAAGCAGAAAGTTAATAAGTAGCCTCCAATTGGGAGGAGGGGGGACAGATAAAATCCTGGGGGAAAACTTGGAAGAGGAATTAAGTCCCTCGGAGCAAGAGGAATATAAGTTGAACGTTGAAAGACACACAGGATCCACAGGGAGGTGGAAAGAGGGGCATTTCAGATGGCAGGAACAGCATGGGGGAAGGGACAGAGCAGAGAGTTGAGCTGAGGGCACAGATTTGTACGAAAGTGTTTCCCAGACTGGGTTAGGCTGCTGTTAATGGGCGTTCTACAAATCCAACGCCTCTTGTTCATATGTTCAGGGAACAGTGGAGTAAATGTGGTCCAACTTGGGATTCTACCACGGGGGACTTCTGGGGTCTTCTGCTTGGTGCTTGAGTAGCCAGCGGCAAAGCTTTGGTCTGCAGGGAGGACGCCCAGTTATCTGGCAACACCTCAACAGGTCAGCTTGCTGGAAAACGTGTGGCTGAAAATGAGGCCTGTCAGGGAGGAAGCCCAGGCCTTGCTGCTGCGGCTTTTTGTTTTTTAAAGAAAACTTGGACCCACTCAACAGTTTTGAGGTGGGGAGTGACATAATCAAGAGTTGTGTTGACAGGCCAGAAATCGGAGCACATTTAAAAAGAGGGAGGAGGGAAACCTTCCGTCAGCCCAAGACTACAAATTAGAAAATAACCTGTCGCACGGAGCCATTGGAAGCAGCGAGCGAGCGCGTGTGGGATCCATACAACACTTTTAGACTCCCTTCCTCTCGCACACCCCCTCGCCATCTGTCGCAAAGGGCACCAGGAAGATGCAGGGAGGAATATTCCAGCTCTAGGGGCTCCAGAGCTTGGCAGCCCAGATGGGAGGGGGCTTTATGGGAGCCACATCACTCCCTGTGTGTTGTGATTTGTGAGGACCGAGGGGCTGCCCGTGTTTCCACCCATGGTGGGCTTTCAGAGAAATGCTTTTGACTCAGTCCAAAACCTTCTGCCCAGAAAAGAAACTCTTCCACAAACCTCCACCTGAGCCTTGAGGGGGGGGTCTCTCATTCTCTCCAGCTCAGACAAAGTAATCCTGATTAAATCATGTAACTTCTTCTCTCAGAGGCCACCCAACAGGAAGGCCAGTTTCCAAAATTCTAGCTCATCTACCACTTGGACGTGTTACTTCCCAAGTTTTGGACTCGATTTTCCTCATCTGAAAAATGGGGATAAGAGCCAACTCATCTTTGCTGATGAGATCATTCAGATATATCATACAGCCCTTCTCTCAACACATGGTTCATACTAGCATTTTATATGAGCCGAATGACGGCAAGTAAAGGAATGAATCATACCACGAGTCTCCACAGGGCTGGTAAAGAATAATTAAGGGCCAGAAAGTACCCAGAGAACACATGGCTTTAAGGACCTTCCAAGAACGTAACATGTCAAGCCAAACCCTCCCCCACCTTTTTACGGAAGAGGAAGTGAGAGTAACTTTACCATTTAGGAAAGTACAGAGGAGCCACCAACATGCTACCCTCTACCAAAGGGTCAGAAGTTCACTGGAGGGCCTAGCTGCCTCCCAAAGCCTGACCTCCAATTTGGCTGAGCTTCCTCGAGTCCAGAGCAAAAGCGAATAGGTTCATCTGAGGTCTGCCTGGGAGGTGGCCCAGAAGTCCCAAGGCCTAGGTGGGGCCAAGCAAGCATCCCGCAGATGTAATGTCGGGCCCTGCTGCCAGAGTCAAGGCTGACCAGGTGTCCCCGAGCTCCAGCCCCCTGCCCTTCTCTCAGTCTCAGAATCTCTGCCAGTGCAGCTGTTTTAGGAAGCAGACCTCACATTGGCTCCAAAAACATAGGTTGGTGACTTCACTGGTATCTTTTTAGATTCTCCTTTTGGCAGCACTTGAGCTGAAAGCAATCTTTAGAAACTTCTTCCCTTGCCTCCCCCAACCAAGATACTTCACATGACCAGCCCCATTCCCCCCAAAGCGTGATCATGTGAAGCCACAGTAATCATGTGACACCTCCCAGGCTGACAGTTGTGCCTGAGACACTACTAGTCGTTCAATCCAAAGCTGCTTTCCTAAGCCTGACATTTGAGTTTCTCACTCGAACAAATCCATTTTCTTAGAAAATTGGACAACTGCCTCCTTCTACCTTCCTGCCCTTGTATCCTGTCTCTCTTCTGCTTTGTCACAAACTCCATATCTGAAGTAATAGAGGGAAAGTCCCAAAGCCCCAGTCTTTAGCCAAACCAAGTGAATTCCATGCCCAGGCCCAGGGTGTGACGAAGGCCCGGAAGAACACAGTGTAGAATGCTGGGAGGCCTGAGCTATGGGGGTCACATCCCATCCCTTCCCCACCACCCTCAACCAAGAAATTTATTCTTACCTCCTGAGATTTATTTATTTCAAAGCTAATCTTGGCCCCTCTGCTGCTCCCACTTTTTCAGGCTATTGATGCTGAATGCATTGGAACGGAAGTTTTATGGCCCAATCTTTACCATTTTATAGATTGTTTTTATAGGCGAAAGGGGGAGATTTGCTCACAAGAAAGGTGTTGGTGTTCCCAGCCAGTGCCCCGGGAAAGGCAGGCTGCCCATCTGAACACTTGTTAATCAGCGTCACCGTTCATTTGCCAGGGACTGAACCACCGGCTCCTAGTCGGAGAAGGGTCTAGAATAGACATTCAGAAAGTAACTTGGGCCCAGTTCCCCGCTTCAGGAAAATTAAGCACTTGTGAGTGATGCTTGTGCATTTCCAGGCCAGGAAGGATGGCAAGGTAGGAACTTGGACTTCTGCAGGGTTCAAATGGCCGGCTCAGGCAGGAAGGAGCAGATCTGAGCTGCCACTTGCTGGAGAGACATGAAATTTATCAGGGCTTCCTTCCTCCCAGCAAGGACCCAAATGTAACGGAAAAGAACTAGGGTGGTGGGTGGTGGGTGGGGGATGCATATTCTTGGGGTTCAGGGGAAACCACAGGGCAAGAGGAAGGTACTGTCCACCCCATTTCTCCTTCCACCCATTCTTTGCTAGTTCTCCCAGCCATCAGATGGTTACCAGTTTCCAGGCAAAAGCGAGGAGGAGGGGGGGCTAGATACTGAGCTCATCTTTTCCTCCCTCCTCAAAGCTGGGAGGTGCAGAGACCCCTAACCCCACACACAGCTTCAAGAGGCCAAAAACCAAAATCCCCATTCTTCTCTCCCTCCCAACTCCTTTAACGCCATTTCTCGGCCCCCTCCCTGCCCTCCAGGAGGCACACGGTTTTGCAAAAACCCTTTAAGAAGCAGGACTCTGGAATGGTGACCTCACCCCTTGGCGAATACACACAGTAGCCTTCAGAGCCCGCCTGCTGGCGACAGCCAGGTGTTTGATGTAGGCCAACAGAAAGACATGCTCAGAGCCACAGGTAACATCCCCAAAGAACACCTGAGCTGCAGGGAGCTGCCTGGAAGCCTGAGGAAGGCAGGAGGAAGCTAGAGCCAGAAGAGCATCAAGGAGCAAGACCATCCAGGGAGAGGCACTGGCAACCACAGGGACAATCCACTGTGTTTTCACATAAGGATCTGTTGATCTCACAGCAGCTCATCCTGGGGTTACCGCGGCCTCTCTCTCTCCCATACACAAATACTGATTTACTCCGTGCACCAGAGGGATAGCTCACTCTTCCCTAATTGCAACAGCCTGTGTCTGTTCCCTTCCAGGCAACACTGGGAGGACCTCTGCCCTCACTCCCTCCCCCAGACCCCAAGCCAAACACGTGGAAAGCATAAGTCTAAAGAGAGAGCTTCTAGGGAAAGCAGGGAGCCCTGCTCTGAAAGCCACTGTCAGCCTGCCTCCCCCATCAGACTGGGAAGAAGCTACCAACTCATCTCCTCCGTCCCAGTGCCCAGCACAGTGCACGCCATCACAATCTACAGAGATAGACTCTCACTGCAAGAGACCTGGGTACTATCCTTGGCTGTGTGACCTTGGGCATGTCGCTGGCCCTCTCTGGGCCTCAATTTCTGCATTTATTACCCTGGTTACAGTTATCTCTCTCCCTACTACTGCTCAACACTAGCGGAGTGGATCCCGGTATCAGTCTGAGAGGCCTGGGTCCGCAGTTTGGGGAGACAGCGGTGGGGAGCAAGGGGTGCTTACCTGACCAGGCGCAGGACGCAGCGAGCAGCAGGCAGAGCAGCGGCCCGAGGCGGCCGGGGGCCGGGCCGGCGGGCTCCATGGGCCGCGGCTGCGGAGCGAGGAGGGAGAACGGCCGTGAGTGCGCGCTCGGGCGGGCGCAGGCTGGAGCGGGGAAGTGACTAAGGCTCCCCCCTCCTCCCC